CCCATTAAAATAAACATTGCTTCTAAAGCTAAGCATATTCACCATGGAATCATCAACTTCACTAAAGGGCAGTGAGAATTGTGTTCTTGAACAATATCTTCGGCCAGATGCCGTGGACCTTTGTAATCAGAATATGAGAGAAATTTTCACCTTTTGGTTGACCTTAAAACTTGATACGTCTGTGTCTGATGGGATGGGAATTCCTGATGTGATGGCTGCTCTAGCGACGATTGAGGGCATTATATGCAACACTGAACATTATTGGCAACGACGGCTTGCCTACGTGCAGCTTATGAGAGTTCTCCATTCTCTTGAGAAGATGATGCAATTTCAGAGTAATCGCAAGCCGGGTAGCTTCAAAGAGGCTCTCCGAACTTATGCGAAAGCCCTGGGACAGTCGAATGTAAGTCACGTTGCGCATCGCAAACGGCTCAGCCCGCGTTGGTCCGATTGTAATTAAAGCAAAATAAACAAGTGTGCGGATTTGTCAGTACTGCTGTTTGATTGGCTTCGGAAGGCGCCAATTGGTGGTGCGGGATTGGCTAACTAGCTAACTTTACCTGCTGGCAAAAATCGCCGGACCTCAGGCGAAGACTAGTGCTGTAGATTTCAGTCAGTCAAAGCAAGCAATTGGGCAATCGCATGCTGTTATCATTCATATGTTATTTTCTTTTCTTGATTGAAAAACAAGGCGTTCATCGGTTAAGGTTTAATGGCCGAGAGCGGCAATTTGGCTACAGCTTCCGTCCAGAAGAAGGGTTTGTGGTTTTGGCTTTGCTCACTCAGTACAGCCAAGAATGGTCTCAGCGACTAAGCAGCCCTGTACTTCGCCAATGCACCTATCACCTCCAGATTAGCTAACGTAGTTGTACATTAACCTTGTTAATAAAACAGTGCAAGTCATCTGAGTCCACTGAGGATAGTAGCATGTAATGTCTATTGATTCGCCATCATCCAAGATATTCTAACATAATTCCTGATTTCACTCTCCAAAATATTGTTGCATAATGAGCTGTCAGCAGCCGCACAATTACCGATATCAGATAGCTTAGTGCAAACGTTCTTCAGTTGATCCGGCACGTCATCCAAGGCCTTCAAAAGCAATATCCTCGTCGTTTGGTTATCTGCTTTAGTAGGATCTTCCCTGCGTAAATGAGTCAGACCTGAAAGGTGCAAGATATGCAATCGCACTTACGCAAAGGAAGCCGCAGTCTTGGAGAATGCGAGCAGAAGGAGTGGTGATGAGCGAATAGCGTCTTTCCAACGGCCACCGACGAGCCTGAAACGACGCAAACGGCCTGTAGCGGTTGGTGTGTCTTGCGCATTACGATAGAGCTCATATGCTATCGCAGCAATGGTTTGATGTGGTTTCGTGTCAATAGAACCACAGTAGTTGTGAAGTTGTATATTGCTTTTCAATGATTCCAGGAAGTCAAATAGCTGTACATATCCAAATCTAGGAGGAAGAAAGGGTTCGGCTTTGCCCTCTATGACGCTGTCTAGCGCTCGAACGGCGCCGGCAAGCCTCTGGACGGTAAGCGGAAGATTTGGTGCTATTCTAGTGCTACCCAACAGCGAAAACCAGGCAGTGAACGTGGGCTCCCAAGTCTGCGCAAAAAAATGTATCGCATCGGATCGGACAAAATGCCGGCAAAATTGCAGAGGTGGAGGCAAAGCCTCTTGCGCTTTCGCTTCGGCCGCTTCGGTTTTACAATTCTGGAACTGTGCCGAGTTTTCTGGCAGACCGTTCCAGTCGAGGCCTCTGCAGATTTGATTAGCCGCAGTTCTTATAATGCATACTCAACTAAAGTGATAAAAGTTGCAAACGAAGCAAGCTATCACGCGCCTTGTA